ATTAGCTTTCGCATTTATATTAGTATAATTAGTTTGATTACACTCAGTCACAATTAAAACCTTAATCTAAATCTAAGGAGAAATATATAAATAAAAAAGACAAAAAAATCATAAACAGTAATACTCTGATATTACTAAGTCTTAATATTAATATAGTGGTTGTGGTCATATATTCTTATTTGCCTATTTATTTTCAGGAGCTAAGCCACCAACTGAATGCGGCCCTCAACGAGATGCAGATGAACCAGAAGCAGTCGGTGACGCCGTGGCTCGTGCGCACGCTCGGTGAGTACGCACGCACACGCGCGCGCACGCTCACTCACATGCATTCGCACACGCATACGCATACGTACACACACATCTACACGTAAACACACGAGCCCACGTGCACCTAAACGAACACATACGCACACGCACATACACGTACGGTCTATTATATCTCACACTACATAGTCACGAAAACCTGAGACTTGCGTTAGATGACGTCATGACTACTCAAATAAGATTATTACATGTAATATTGAAATACACGGAGACAACTGCGCCAGTCTTATGTTATTGTGCAAAACACACTATATGTACTAACCACGCACGCACTTACAATTTTGAAATATGAAAAATATGTGAAGATTTGTATTATAATTACAACTGTTTTCTTATAAATGTACTAACAAAATCGTTAACTGAGGCATTTTTTTATGTGGATGTTTTATTACATATTTGGTATAACATGATTTAAAAATTTAAATAGTCGGCCATAAAACAAATTTCAAGCATTTAACTTATGATAATCATTGCTTTGTTTGTTTCTTTATGAGTTGCATTTTTGCTGACTTTTGTGATTGTCTTCAGAAATTATCGCTATAGAGATGTGAATAGTCTGGAATATTCGAGATTTAAAAAAAATAGATTATTTTATTTCGTTACAATTATTTAAATGCAATACATATCTGAAGATGCTAGAAAAAAATAATAAAAAAGCTGTATGATTTTAGAGATGTAATATTTATGTTTGAAAATAGTACTAATTAAGACAACAAAAGAATTTGATCTCTATAACGATAGTAAGAGGAACTAAATTTGAATGTTTTACTTCATTGTCAGGTCATTAACCAGACGATCCGACTTACCAGAGCTGAGGTGATTGCGTTGCATTTCTATCTCTGTTAACATTGCCTGTTAGCTAACATTTTATACCATACATACTAATATTACATAGTCGTTGAAGTTCTAACACCATGTATATACAAAAAAACAACTGTCATTTCTTAATAATAGTTATATGTAGATTACGTGATTCTGATAGCCAGAAACGATGTCTTTCGATTCTCTAGCACACATATGGACAATAACCGGCTCGCTTTAAGATATGATCAGGCTTTTTAAAAAACCCCAAGCTCTAGAAAATGTCATCAAGATGTCAAAATAGCCAAAGACTTACGGATATTAGAACTTCAACGATATAGTAAGCGGCAATGAATTATCCTTACGGTGTTTTAAATAGATTTCTAGTCTTTGTAGAGCGCTGTCTCATTCACACATTGCTTATTACTGAAGTGGGAGAGAGATAACGCTCTACAAACTCTAATATGCAAATATGATATTTGTAGCCGCAAACTATACATAAAATAGATATCTGAATGCTCCTTCATTAACCTTGTCATGGACTAATACTTTATTTATTTATTTATACCGGGAAAATAATTCTTTGGTGACATTCGTTTCTTCAATGTTTGTATCATTGATTTCTAGAATCTTAGTTTTTTTTTGTATTATATTAATTGTTAGTAGTACAAAATATAACTTAACATATTTAATGCATGCCACTTTTCTTTGGATTTTAATCGAAATCTATTATCTCTATCTACCCTCTGTGTAACATGAGTGTCGTCTATATGATGTAGGATTTATAGCACGTGAATGAAACGGAATTGTCATAATGGGTCATAACAATCGCACATTTGAATAGACGATAAAAATTGCACATGCACTTTTTTTTACTTTTTTTTCAACCAGTTTATTTAATGAAATTTTGCTCGAAAAGACAAACCACTTAATATAGCTCATTGGAATCCTATTTTCGATTCATTTACAGTATAATTATACATATATTTAACGATACATTATAAGAATAATTCTCTTAGATTTTAAACTAAAAATAAATCATAAATTGTATTTGTAAGCTAACATAGGCCTCTCCCATATAATCAAAAGCTATTAAGTAATTTGCCATATAATAAAAAAGTTTTCTCAATGAAAAATGATACCAAATCAATTACCTTGCAGGTTCCATAATGGAGGCAGCTCAAAACCGACCATCATTCCAAACATACTTACCTAACGCGAATCAAGAAGCAACAATCCATAGACAAGGCTCTCTAACTAACGTACAAACGCAGTCTCATTCCGTAGACAGGCGCGTCTCCGAGCCATACAGCCCTGACGTAGTTCGGAGGAAGAAAGATCTCAATACAAAACGACACTCAATGCTCGTAGAGTCCAATATCACCAAAGAGGCAAAGGAACTCAACCGACGGAGCCACCATGACGTCACAATTGTCAAAAACCTGTCAATGGGTTGACGTAAGCGTTCCGTTTCACAGTCATGTTAGTGCCTGTAAATATTGTTTACCCGCCACAGGGCACGCTTCACCCGAGCGTCAGGGTTGCCAGATAAAAGACGTAGTATAAAATGTATATTTTACTATTTTTAGGCTTTACGCACCGGTTATCCTAGTCCTAATATAAAGCTTTCTCTTTAGATACAAAAAGAGTTGTCCACGCAAGATCTGGTAACTCTGAGTGTCATAGATTAAACAATTACCGAAGATATGAAAATTATTATGAATACTATTTTGCAATATAAGTGCACATACCGCTAGTCAATACGGTTAAATAATATTGGTTGTATATGTTTGTTTTCCTAAGAAAGTCGGATTATGAGTTTATTTTGTAAGGGTTTTTATTTAAAAAGTATCAAAGTAAATTGATTTATTTCATTCAAAATTGTGATTTCATAAAAATCAGTATTAAAATTTTCCAATTTGCATTTACCGTGCTTTGTTCAGTGTTAGTGCTTGGCTTCAGGTGAGAAAAATTTTCATTGAAAACTAGATGTTTTAGAGGACATTTATAAAAAAAAATAACTTTGTCTATAGTCCACTAATATCAATGTATAATGTATTTTAATGTTACGGATCATACGAAATACCTTCTCATTTTTTTTTATTTTTTCTTTTATATTGAACTTGTCACATTATATTTTTAGATTTTATTATAAGTTATATCTATTTAGTTTTTTATTTTTTATGTTTTGACACTGGTAGTTTATTCCCTCTTAATATTTTATTGATTAAAAATTAACACTTTCAATGCTATTGCGATTTTTTCAAATGGAAAAAAGTCGCAGGACGAGCCAGGTGACATTGGATGTCTTAATTGGCTTCAATTACATTTCACTGCTTATCATAGGAAAAAGGGATATTTTTCAGATAATTATGCTTGAAAAATACTGCTTGGTATGATACTCACTGCCCCTTAGGGTGACGAATGTTCGAATATGTTTATGGAATGTTTATTTTTTCATGTCTCTGAGTGATATTAAGAACGGCGCTAAATGTGTAATATCATAGTGTAACAAGTGTATAATGTGCTATAGAATATGTTTTGCTTTTTCATAGATCATAGAATCGATAAAAAAAATACATGTTACAAATGTGCAGATAAACAATGAAACTTATTCTTTGATTTTTAAAATCTTTGCTCTCTAGATTAAGTAATTTTTACTCTGTGTCAACGACAATGTCAATTTGAGTTCCGTTGTATAACAATTTTTTTTATTGTATTTTTTGTTCGTTGGTTGGCATCCCATTAAACATTGCCTGTACTTGTCTAAATAAAAATTTTATTTCAAAATCTCTAAAATTTCGCAGCTATGAAAATAAGAATAGACAATTGTGTCGGTATATCAAGAAGCTTGCCATATGAACGTATTTGGAAATTTAAATTTAACATTTGTAAATATTGCTTTGTAAGTTTTCTCTGCGATCCAGTGTATTATAAGATTCAAACTTTATGCCGGCTCGTTAATAGACTTTGAAGTTGTTCATGTTTTCAAAAGAATATTAATGAAAATATATACACGGTTATTTTTTAATTACCAGAAAAATATGCTAATGCAAAATATACGATGATGTTTTTTTATTGTTAACAATTATTAAGTTAACAAACTGACATTTTGAAATCGTAAAAAAGGCGACAAGATAGTCAATTGAAAATTTAAAAGCAACAGAGTGAAGTGAGTGGAATTTTTGGTAATTAGATAACCCTATATGTTTCTTTTTTATACAAGTGTATGACGTATGATAAATGTACTTGCGAGCTCCTATAAAGTTTGAATAACACTGTATTATAAGGATTTGACATTTCTTTTATAGTAAATATTATTTTCTTTAGAAATTTTATTAATCAAACATTCTTATGATTGCAATCCATATCGAATAGTTAGTGAATTGTTTAAGTTGTGTGATGTATTTTGGAAATCGATATCATTTTTATGACAATAAAAATAGTAAATTTAAGTACCAAAAGATAATTATTTCGTTATTTCAACTTTTTTATTTTATCATAAGCTTTTTTTTGTTATATCTCCGTTTTTAGACTGGAACAACATATAATTTATCCAGAAAAAACCCACATTTATATTGAAAAATATTTATTATTCTGATCTCTATTATATTTCCTTTAATTGTAATTCAATTTAGTTTTTATGAAAGTGATTATTATTAGACGTAGAGTAGATATATTGTTTATTGGTATTTTAATACTAAAACATTTATTATCCGTTACTTTTGAATCAGATATCGTATTTCGAAGTATAAAAACAAATGTTTAAATTCATGATCCGTCGCATTTTAAAATTTTAATATAGATCTGATGTAATAAATGTGTTATTTTATTTAAGAAGTCGAAAGTTTTAGTTGTATTGTCATTAAAAACGTCTATATAGAAATATAGTTAACTGATATGTGTAAAAAGTATATGCGATAGTGAGATGTCCCGGGTCTGCCATACTACAGCCTAAGACACGCTTCGTTGTATTTTCCATACCCTAAACCATGTATAGCTTTATAAATAGCGAGATATATTATTAGGTGAAATTTCTGTTTATAGTCAGTTACATTTGCTGCGGATGTGTTATTTTAGTCTTATTAATGGAAATAAATGATTACAAATATTTTTTTTGTTTTTTATTATATGTGTACAAAGTTCGATTTTTAAAAGCAATAGTCGTTGGAATGTTTAGTACACATTGAGACGACGAAGCGCAACAATGAAGTTCATATGTGTAAAGGGGAGTTTGTCTCGTTGCAAAAACAACGCATGTTTTCTCTAAGTGGAATTCGCTACTGTACATGGTTCTAAATTCCCATTTTTACATTAAAATTCTGTTTGTTTTTCAAAAAATTGGTGAACAGCGACATCTAGTGACGGATAGTAAAACTAAAATAATTATTCCGTTCCATGTTGCGGTGAATAGCGAAAACCTTTAAAAATTTCCAAAAAAATGTATATCTTGTTTTAAAATCATTTTTGTTAGTTTAAAATTTTGTCCTAGTTTCACTTATTAAATGGGAAGAGAAATGAAAATTTAATACTTCCTGGTTTTTTAATGTAAATTTTCATCAAAAGATGGCAGGACCAAAACTTTTATTAGAAAATAATTTAATTGATCATATTTTTCTATTATTTAATTATTTCTAATATCTGACTTATTGTATCAGTGGTTTTTTATTTTGGGTTAGAAAGATTAGAATTAAGGAATCAAAATATATGTACAGTGGACAATTTAATATTAAGATGTATATTATATTGATACTTTAATGTTTTAATGTACTGATGCAATATGTAAACTTGGTGTAAAGAGACAAGAATTGTGATACCCTTCGAGCGCCGCACGGCAGCCAGCGTGTCGTGATGTGACGCAGTTCGAATGACAATAAACAGGTGCTGGATATTTTGAGACGAGTTTGAGACCTACAGTGACATCTCTTAATTTGTTTTAAAGGTAAAAATAATTTTCAATTACCCTTGTGAATAAATAACACATGACGGATTTTAATTACAAAAATATTAATGGGATCTATATTTAACTGTATTGCTCTCTGAAATATCGTAACTATTCGAGCGTATCGCTTTATTGCTTGCTTAATTTACATACGTTTTTTATCAAAGCTACGTCAATATTATCGAGAGTCGTCGAGAGCGGAACCTAAACTCCCCTAACTGTCATGTGTGACCGGAAACTATAGATTTGAACAGACCTTTTAACGAAATGAGTTTTGTAGTTATAAATGCAAAATATTTAATAAAGTATTAATTGTTATTGTAATTGATTAGCTGTTAATTGTATAAGGAAGAAAGAATCTAGCCCTTTTTTGCAAAACATAAAAACGCAAGAAAATTCCAATCATAACAATATTGTGTGTTATCGATAAAATATTTTATCGTAGATGATCCGTTGGGTTTGATATCGCGAGTGAAAATTGTCCGAAGCAGCAGCAGTACCCGTGGGTACTTTCTCACGGGCCTCGCTCTCTACAGTGTTGGTGAAAACGCCTTTTGTTTACAACTTACCAACTTGGGATGATTTAACGCTTATTGTTGTCAAGAAAAATGTATCCGATGTAGTTTTTGTTCGTATCATAGCGTTCACATTCACATGTCAATATTGAAATAATTATGTTTTTTATATGTTTAAAAGAGGAAGTTTGTTTAGTTTTTTTAAGAGATAGAACAGTCGGAACAAATGAAACTCTATTCAAAGTAGTGCACTAATCAGCGTATAACAATAAATAAAAAAATCATTAAAGTATTTGATGACAAAAGATATTAAAATTAGAGCGAATGAAGAGTCAATATGCAATGAATCACGTTGGAAGTTCACCGGTCGCTCGTGCCGTTTTGATCTTGACTTTATTAGTCTGCAATCTCCTTAAATAGCAGCTGCAACTGCGACAGATCTTCTATTCCTTTTTTATGTCTCCCGCAGCTTCGCCGCACTCCCGCGTCCATTCATATCGTATGGGGTTGCGATATCTTATTAATATTATAAATGCAAAAGTTTAGATGGATGTTTGTTAGAGTTTGTAGCTTAAACTGCTGGACGTATCTCGATGAAATTTGACATAGATATAGAGTATAGTCTGGAAAGAACACATCGGCTCACTTTTGTCTTTTTGAATTCCACGCGAACGGCGATGCGTGCAACAATATATTACAAGATGAAAACTTTATGGCATCTTGAGGATATCAGTGCAACTTCGTAAATGGACACCAGTTGTAAAGGTGTAGGAAAGCGCATAGGTTAACAGTACACCTCCCGCCGTCTTTGGTGAGCTAGTAGTCACTTTTTCAAAATAATATTTATTAATTTCTTTCTAGATGTTCCAAAAGGTGCTTAACATGACTCGATTAATAATTATTAGTGTGAACATATTTTACTCTCAGAATGATGTTGAAATTTAATCCTGTTCTTAATGTTTAATGTTTTCTAATTATACTATACTTTCACAAACATCTACTTTACGTTGTTAGTCGTTACTTCTCTGAGCTAGCTAACTCGATGACTGCAGCAAAGGCGGATGCAATGCAATTACCCTTAATGACCATCCCTACTGTGACCAACTTCGGACATCAATTAGTACCACTTTCTCTTACTAACATATTAATTATCCCACACGTGTGAAAGAGACGATGTAAAGATGGCGCAACTGTGACAGTTACTTATTGCATTTGTATTTCGCATGTTCAGCGATAAATTGACATCGCTTTGACGATACAATGTGATATTAGATTATTAAATCTAGGAATTTTTTTGCGGCAGTAATTTTATTTACATAAATTTGAGATTTCACGACAGCTTTTTCAAGATTCAATCGATGTCACAAGCCAGGAATTAATAATTTAAAAGCAATATCTTAGGTAACAGTTTTCTTGCGTATGCCCTGTAAAAAGTCGAGTTCCTCAGTATGAGAAATCTAAATTCGTTTCATCCGTGTCGTAAATATCTTGCTTATAATCTAATCTATTGGTTTTTAGTATTGCTATTCGATTGCAATCTGTAAAAGTTTCTAAAACATTCATTTCATCTTGATAGACGCCTATTTGTAATCTTTCGTAAGATATAATAACTTTGATGCGAAATCGATTCCGTTTCACAACACTAGGAAGATATTTCGCGATTAT